ATTCACATTTGCTAGACTTACTGTATCTACTGTATATGTACCCGAGTTTGGCTATGAAACTGTGAAATTAATTAAATAACCTTTATTTATTACTTTGACATGTGTGACCACCTCATATCGCTTGACACATAGGTTTTACCGACTTCAACACTTAACATTTGTCCTACAATCGAGAGGAAAACAAGTCAATATGACTAAGCAGTACTTGGATTTATCTAATTAGATGGTGGTCTATATACTCTTATGGTTTACTACCAGTTTTGAACGTTTTGAGAACCTTAATGGGATGTAAAGCAACAGGATCGTTATTTCAGACCAGTCACATCAATGGTACTGCAAAAGTCAAACATGCCTCTCCTCAGCTGCCTTGACTGGAGGAAAAACTTTTAAGACGTACATTTTCGTCATTGAATAAGGTTTAATTGTGCTGGCCAGCTACGACACAGAGAGACACTGCAACAGGGTGGAAAGGAGAGAGAGGGAGCAGGAGAGAGGGAAAGCAATAGAGGTGCGGGGTGTAGATTATAATAATAATACCAAATATTGTAAAACTAAAAGACACATATTGCCCTGCAGTTGAATCAGTTCCATCCTGCATGCAGACTATAAACAAATGTAATATGTTTAAGAGAAAAAGAGCTCTGACACACACACACCTGCTAACATATCACCTTTGAATCATACTGCTTCCACTCAGACTGAATGTGTAGCATCCACAGCTGCATGTCTGTGTGAGTGCTGCAATGACTGGCTTGTTTAGGGGTTCTTACCGCAACTGAAGCACCGACTACATCTCTCTGTCATTTCTTCATTGCTTTCTTTGTAACTGCTTCACATTCCTCTTCTCCTCTCGTTGTGGATCTCTTCAGATTCCTGATATATCGCTTCCCTAGCTCTCCTCTCTCCGTCACTAGAGATGAAGAGTAAATTGGCTCAGACTGAATCTCTCCGCTCTCCTCCCTCCAGTTAAAATGGAGATGAGGTGTGTTCTGCAGCAGAGCTTCTGTCCCTCTCATCTCTCCTCCTCTCTTTCTATTGCCTGCCTTACTCTCTCTCTTATTTCTTCCCCTGTTTCACAAAGCATTTGCGATAGTTACAGTGTGTGATTGTTCTGGATCCTGCTTGCAATTTTCTTTGTAGATTAAAGACTGGCTCACAATGCTAAGTCATAGATAGTTACATTGTCATAGAGGTTTGTGTTGCAATACCTCTAATGTTGATTGTCTCTTAATTCAACAATAGTGTGGTACTTTTTCAGAGCCCAAGCTGTATCTCATCTCGCCACCTGACAGATGTGTTGAGCCATTTCAATGTGGTATTTTCACAAGGATTGTTAAACATATACAGTGTATACATACTGTATACACATTGCTTAGCATTTCAGATTTTAATTGTGTATTTTGTGAGTTCAAATGTGTTTGTTAACTTAGACAACTTCAAGATTCAGACGCTTTTATTAAGCCTTATTCCAATTTCACTTTTAAAACCTATATTTTAAAACAATACAATACAGATAAGGAGAAACTGAATAGTATTTCATCCCCATTTAATCAGACTAGCAATCAACAATATTCAAAGAAGAGAAATACAAAAGAAGCTTACTCTAGGTACTGTTGGTGTACATTTATTTGTAGTTGTTTCTCTCAGTTTTCTGATTCCAACGCTCCACATTTTTGTCCTGAATGTCCCTCACACAGCGCCTGCAATGCCACACTGGCATGTGGTGGTAATTTATGTATAGGAAAAATTGAATTTAGTCTGGTTATCTATGCATATGTTAAATGGAACCCAGACTTTCTTCTGCAGGAAGCGGTTACACTACATTTTCAATAACTCCTCCGTAGCTCTGTTAAAGGAAGAACGTATAAGTCATTACTTTGACTTTTTATTGAAAAATGAACAAAGACAATACAGTGTGACAGTCCTAGAATGGAAGATAAAACTCTACTCTGCAGATTGCCTCCAGCCTGCAGTAATACAGCAGTCATTTGATATATTATACATTCAACATGGTAAGTATTCCCCTTGGGAAATAAATGAGCAGTATAAGACTATACGCTTTGTATAAAAAGTGTAAAAGACAGGTGGAGGCTGAAGTGGAGGAAAAACAGCACCTGCTGTTAAAGCAGAGAATACCGGGCAAATGTTTCATGAAAGTGGTAAATATGACTTGAAAACTTAATGCACATTACATTTAATGCAGTGAAATGCGATGATGGTTAATGTGGGCACTGGGCAGCGGATGTTGGTTTCACATTGGTCCCAAAATCAGTTTAGTTCAGCGTCGTGCTACCTGCCAGCAGTTCTCTACACAGAATCGAGTCCTGAGTTCTGAGTCTGACTCTTTTTTAAAGCGGCTAAAGGGTTTTTATAGGTATCAAATTACTACATGATATTTGAAAAGTGTTACATGTGACCTATCTCTTTACGTTCCCCCAGCATCTTCTAGCGCTTTTCAGCTGTTTCTGTTGGTTCACACTAACTAGATCATCAGCGTTGTTTCCAACCACAGAAGAAAGCTGAGTCCAGCAAAAAAAGTTCTTAACACCAAGTGTTTGCTGCCTGCCAGCACCAACTGCAGACAGAGTTAGTGACTGACTGGTAAACATAGTAATAAACAGTTTTTACCTGGAGGCATAAATAGACATCTGTTGGCAAAAAAGTTTCAAATTCAGTTTTGCTGCCTCCAAGTGGCCAAAAAAATCAGGTCTGTCATCTGCTTCAAGTGGTTGTGGAACCCAAATCAACCACATTATCTAAGATAACACTTAGCTGATTTTCTTTCAGCATAGCCCTACTCCTTAAGTTGTAGAAAAAAGCAGGATATTACTCAATCTTGATGCACGCAACATATTCTACCTGTAGTCACAAAAACGGTATGATCAGAGGGCACATGTCTTCCTTTATTGCCATCATCATAAAGATATATTTGTCCATTCATGGATCTGATATACATGTCACATCACATCTCGGGATCACCGGATATGCGTCTATAAAGATATTATGTATTGTGGGGAAAATGTGATCTTGCCACTCTAACTGTATAGCTTTTAGCAGCAATTACAAGTGTTATGGATTCATCCTTAACAGAAGGTATCTATGATATGCAATAAAAACCCAAAATGTTCATGAATATTTGATCATTTTATTACTTCTACCAGCCCGTTTGCCCAACTCTACTTTATTGATTGCAGCAAAGCATTCAACAGTGTTAAAATACAAAATGCAATACAGGTTTATTTGATGTGTCTTTAAAACGATTACATATTTAGTAAGTCTGAGGAGACATGAGATCCAGAGTCTTTACTGGGTCAAACAATACTGGCAGCTGTCAGAATCTGGCATGACGACATGCATTTTTAATTGAGGCACTTAGAGAACTTTTAAAATTAGGTGCTTGTGAAGAGACTCTAGACTAGAGAAACACAGCCTCTGGGCAGAAATAAAAAATATATACACCAGTGGTGATGTTGAATCACACAGAATCTAAGCATATCATCCACAGTATGAAAACAAAAGTGATTTGTGAGACCATGTTTGTGTGCTCATTTTTACTTGAGACAATTGTAAAATCAAGTCTAAACTGCAGTGAATCCCTCTTTCTCTGTGAAATACATCTCAAACTTACATTGAAGTAGTTTTGATACTTTAGCAACCATCAAATAGTGGAATAAAGTATATATTTTGCGATCATTGAATACTTTGGAACTCTGTTGATTCTTGTTTTATTGTATTCAATGCTTCGTTTTATGATCATTGACCGTTTGCTCTTGGAAAAAAAATTCAAACACACACTGTTTATGTTTTGACTGTAGAACATATTCACAGAGAGTAGCGGTGCAGAGGATATGTGTGTTTTCGTGTAGGCGTGTGGTAGCTGCAAGGCTAAAATAGTGGATACAGAGCAGCTACTGCAGAATATACTGTGAGACAAAAAAGCAAAACAAATAGAGAATGAACTAAAAAAACAGAGTAGTAAGTGAACAAAAAATGAATCATTTTTGCAGCTGGTGGTTTTACATTATTATGTATAAATGTGTATTTATGTGTGTATTTATGTGTATGTGTTTGTGTGAGAAACAGTTTGACTTGGCTCTCTAATAGCTTTCCTCTTCATTTGCTTGATTCATTCAGGAGCCACTACACAAAAGCACACACACCCACATGCCCGGCTGACTGAAAGGCAGCGAGGATAAGTGGTAGCTGGCTGAAAGGAAGGGAGAGAGAGGAGGTCGCCATAGCAACACTGTAGGGTTGTCGCTTTTATTGGAGAAAGAAAATCAGCTCTGCCTTATCCTCCTATCTCACTCTCCTCACTCTCTCAATTCTCCTTTCTATGTATCACCTTTCTCTTTCTCTGTGAGTTCATTTCATTTTTCACAAGCTGATTTCAGCAAACATCTATTGGAGACGTGAACATTCAAGTCACATCTGCTGTTAAATTATTTTTCTGAAAGTAGTTTCATTTTTGCAATTTGGGGAGTGATATAATATAGTTTATTATAATGCTGCACCTAGAATTTACTTTCATCAATGATTAAAGTCCAGGATGGTGTATTCAAATGACTTGGCCAGTCCACAACCTAAAGAGGTTCAGTTAAATATGATATGAAGCAGAGAAAAGCAGGAAATGTCCATATTTTATGGACTGAAACAGAAATGTTTCTGACATTTTGTATGAAAGATTACTCCAGTATCACATTATTTGTTATTTTTTATGATTAATTAACCAAATGTTTTTTTGAAGTGTAAATCTGTACAGAAAAATTCCTTCGGGTATGTCTCATATTAAAATAAGATGAGCTTATTTTTACTTATGAGGTCCTCTAGGCAAGGACAAATTGGATAGAAGTCCAATGACAACAGCAACCTTTAATTCATGATGTCCTCTGTCAACCAAAATTATAAGAATGTATCTATCGCAAAGGGCCTTGAAAACATGACTTGAAAACAAAGTGGTCTTATCTTGCCCCATCTAAGAGGTATGGGGTTGATCCAAGTCAAGGGGTAAATTGAGCCATCTAGGGGTGATTTGACAAATGTTTAGTTCAAACCCGAGTTGTTTGGTACAGGAGTGTTGTTTATGTCTGCTAATTCAAAAGTCAGTTCAAAGCATTTATTTAGAGTAAGGCCATGGATCTGGTCAGCTAGTTTTTTGATATGGTCTGCATGCTCCTTATTTCTCCTGTGTGAAGACCCTTTTTTTCTCTGCTGTTCCACTGTACCCTACTGTTTTCACTTCCTTTCCTCCTTCCTTGTTATGTATACGCAGGGTTGACATGTCAATATTTCTGTCTTTTTCCACTGCTCTGATGGATCTTCCAGCCTTGCCATCAGTGGCTGCTCTCTCCATCTCCTCAGTCTTTCTCTTGTACGTTCTTGGCATGTTAGCCTTTTCTACAATGTTTAAAACATAAAAAACACATCAGTTGTGTGAAACTAAATTGAAATACCATATACTAAAAATACTTAACTTAACTTCAGCGCCTCATGGGGGGTTAAGTTGAACTTCTGGCTCAATTACCCCACAACACTTTGTGGAAAATAACTGTCTAGTCAGTCATTTATGCTAATCTTTAGCTAAATGATTCACATGGTTTTACACCTTGCAACATACTTTTAGACCTGGATTCATTTGCATTGACACAAATGGGGCGAAGCCTGCGAGCTAGTTCAGGCAGTCAACTCGAGCACTTATGCTGCATTCATACATAACGCCCCTTGCCACTCTACAACCAACCAAACAGAGTCTCCTTAATAGGCCGCTCTATTTAACCTGCCAGATATCTCTGCTTTGCTTACTGCTGCTTTGCTGCAGCTACTCTACGTCGCTGTTGTTTGCCTGCCCCACCACCACCCCAGCTTCCACCTGTAGGCTTTGGGGGTTAGTTATTTAATCATCACTCATCGTGCTATGTATGTCTATGGAGTGATGAGACCCGAGCCTAGACGCCAAACTCAACTATGCTGCTTCTAATAAACATGTTAAAGAAACATGTGAGTTGTCTGACTGAAC